AAACATTCAGTGGAGTGCCCTTGACTGACGAACACTGAACACGGAACTCGGTGCAGGGAATACGGAATTTTCACAGTACCGTTGTATTGTGGAAAATGCAAAATTGTTTTTAGCAAAGTGCACAATGCACTTGACGACTGTCAAAACGGACATGGGACATGGGTTGGGTCTGTTGTCTTGTTGTCTTGTTGTCCTGCCCTGTACTGTCCTGTCCTGAGCTGAGCTGGTGCTGTTCTTGTTATTTATGTAAAATGTTGCACAACAATAAAATCGTTGTTAACTGGAAGAAAATGAGGACAATTGCAGCAACTTTTCCGGCAATTTTATATATGTATGGTATATATATATATATATATGTCTATATATATGAATTGAAACAATGCCATGCCGTTGTCCTTGCCGCTTGCTGCTTGGGTCAGCAATAAAAATTTGTCCTGCGGTAAATGAAATGGATAGCAATTGCGATTGCGATAACTGGCTGCTGGTCAACTCATTCCCCCTACGAAAATATACGAAAATACAAATAGCAACAAAAAACCCATACAACGTCCCGATAAAAAAAAAGAATGGAGAATCGGCCAAAACAATGGGCCGCCAAACACAAGTTATAGCCGGGTCGAGGTCACTCTGGACGGATGTCCTCCTTCCGCACTTCCCTGCCTACCCTGTAATCGCAGTCCTTGGGGTCGTCGTCGGCGGCGCATCATCATTTATAGATGGCATAATTCCCAGAAATCCAATTATAGTTCTTAATGTATGGAGTAATTTCACAACGATTATTTAATTGTCCTTGCGAGCACGGAGCATGGAAGACACTTTTGCAAAAACAGTTGTCTTCGCCGCAACTAGGTGAACGTTTAAATTTGTACATTATTTGTTATAGTTTTTATTTTTGTCTAAATACCAGATAGACTTTTGTAACAAGCAAATCGTTCTGTGATTTGGCCGAACGATAAATACTAACAGAGCTTAAACCAGTGCATATGTAAATATTATTATTTTAATTTGTATTATTTTTTTTTGCTTAAACATCAGGATAAACTAGTTGCATAAGCAAATCAGTTGCCTAACGCTGTATGGTTTATCCTAACGAAAAAGATTAACAGACTGCTGTGAAGCACAAAATAGTGCAATCCCAACGTGAATATTAATAGAGTGCTGTTATGCACGCAATTGTGCTGCTAAGAGCAAGCCACTAAGAACTGCTGTAATTCTGACGCTTACTTTTAAATCAGTTGTTAGTTTTCCCAAACCAAAAACGACTTAACAGGAAGACATGACAGATAATCAATTTTTCTCAACCGCAACTTCAACTGTTTGCAACATTTTAACACTCACTGTAACAACTCTTTGGGCAGAGAAAATCACAGGGTACAAATGTTAGCTTCCTTTCTAGTTTTCTGTCGTAACCGCCTCGGTCATTTCGGTTTCAGTTTCCAGCTTGTTGGCATTGCAATTCGATTTTTGCACTTGTGTTTTTTAATATTGCACTTTTGTTATTTTTTTGTTTTCAATGTTCTTTTTTTTGTTTTTAAAGTTTATCTGGCTTGGATTACTGGGTCAATTGGTTGGGCGGTCGCTGGGCCCCCGCTGTGGCGAATCAGATTTTGTGGAATCTGGGACAGGGGTTTGCCTAATTAACAAAGTCCTGAAAAGGAAAGTTCCGCACACCCACCCACCACCACACACACACACACTCTATCTCTCTCTCTGTCTCTCTCATTAGCTATCCATATGCCTGTCTCTTTGGGCTTCTCCCTTTTTGTTGGCTGAACTTTGACCCGTGCATTGACATCGTTTTTGCGTAAACTGAACAGAACTGTGTCAGGTAATTGCGTTCAATAAGCAGGTCGAAATGGGAACTACGACTCGCAGAGAGAGAAGGAAGGATCCAGGACGAAACAGAGGGTGAAAGAGAGGGGGCTATCAATAGAGAGAGAGAAAGAGGGAGACACATATGACCTGAATGCCATCCAGTCTCACTTGCATCCTGCATAATTGCTTTATCAATTGCCGCTGCTAGCCTATTCAGATAACCGACTTGCATTTGTGCGTTTAACTCGAAGGATGTCAGGCCTATGCCTACATCTCAGCCTCCCCCACAACCCATTGGCAGCTCAATTTATCCTTTTACAAACGAGCTCATACCCATATGTACCCCAATTTCTAAGCTTCCTGCCTGGCTATGATTATTGTTGTTGCAACTTGCTTTAAATTCTAAAATAAATATTACGAAATTATCTGAAAAAAATTACAAAACGACCTTCTAAATGAAGTGTTGAAAAAATGTTTCGAATAGTGTCCTTAAAATTCCCAAGTCGGAATTTGGTAAGTTTTGAAGTCCAATTGGTAACCAAGAATGCAAAAGATATTAAAATCAACTGTACAAACAATCTTCTGAGTCGTTTTAATATAATATAAACAACAATTTTCCTAGAATATGTGTATATACCAATTCTGCAGTTATCCCCTTAAACTCATTCTCACCACGCGGCCAATTGGGCTCATTTCGACGGACAAAAAAGGATAGTCTATTCAGCATTCCATTTGGCGTCTTCGATGCTTTGCTTCCTCCTTGCATGCAATCAAGGATTCTTTTTCTAAGGGTCCTTTTGGGGCGGACACTGTTGCCCGGCGTCCTGCTCCTCCGCCTGTCGCTGATTTAAAAGCCCGGGGCATAAATATTAGCAAAGGCGTTGCCGCTGACGTGGCTGCAGCAGTCATTTAACTGTTGTCCGCCATGGCTGCTGCGCCACCTCTTTGGTCCTGCTTAACTTTCCTCGAGCACCCCCTTAGCCTTGCTCCTCCTCCGTCCGCTGATTATGCCAGTCAACGAAGTTTTGAATACATGGCGAGAGAAATTGTACAAGATATATTTCCTAATATTTACCTATTTAAATGAAAATATGAAAATATGGCAATACTATTACTTTAAATAGTTTAAGTATTATTTAATTTAATTTTTTATTAATTATAAATCCTTGTTTTATTATTAATTTATATCTCTTGATTAATATTCAACTACAACATTTAAAATATATCACAACTACTTTCATTCATTTCTCTCAGTGCAACACACAGCTTAACCCTTTCTTGCCCTGGGCCCTCAACGTTATCCCCGAAAATTCAGCTCGGCGCACAATGAATTAAATGAATCTCAATTTCCGTTCGGTTTGCGGTTAAAAGCCGCAATCGTCGTCTTCTTGCTCTTCTGGCTAAAATGCAAATTCTCCGGCAGCGAAAATGAAAACAAGCCGGAAAACTCTGAGCTGCAACAACAAAAATGGCGGCCGGAATTTTCCAGGAACGAGAAAGTCCCCCAGCACCAATCCCATCTCAATGGCGCAACCTTTTTCACCCTTCGCCCTTTACCCTTCTTCTCCTGGTGGTGCATCAATTGCCTGGCTTCCATCTTCCATTCGTTTCTCAAGTTCCCCAAGACCCGTAAATTGCTGCAAGATGCCCCCGAAAACTGAAAGGAAGAAGCCGACGGCATTGAGCAGGGATTTCTGAAGTCTGGGAGGCGACTCCTTCCAAACTTTTGTACCGGCAAAACTTTTACAACTGTACCAGGACCAGGACCAGGACCAAGAGTGGGACCCGGACCAGGATGATGATGAGATTCGGGTGAAGAAGGCAGAAGGCAGGAGGCAAAGTCGCTGGGTCGCCGTCTGCAAAAGTTTTGCGATTTGTTTGCGCGAAATAAACGCGACGCAGATAATTTGCGCAAAAGTTCGCTTACTGGCGCAGCCGACCTCGCTGCCCCCAATCGCATCTGGAAGCTAGCAGGAAACCCCTTTGCCACCATCCTAATCCCAAGCCGAAACCCCTTCCCATTGCCATACCCATTCCCATTCCATCTTGTCCAACAATTTCATTTGGGAATATGTATTTCTGGTATGTCCAAATAAACCAAGCGAAATGAAAATGTTTTGCGATCGCTTAAAAGTTGTGCAAATAAGTTGTTGGCTCTTGAGATCCTGCCTGCGCTCGTTGATTGCTAAATTCATTACCGGCCTGAGCATTCATTTCTTATCAAGACTTTATTTTACTTGTCATTAAATTACTGCAAATCGGTGAGGTTAAAAATTACTCTTTTTTTAGGGGCCAATATTCATTATTCATAGTGGTTTGGCCTCATTCGTTACCGATAAGTTACATTAAATATTCGTACATTGAATAATCTTTTACAATTCGTCACTTTTTATTTATAAAAGCTTTATTTTACACGCCAATTTCTAATCATAACTAACTAATAAGTTGTTAAATTCTCTTTAGTAATGGTAAATGATCGTGTTTGAATGCACTCGTTATTTTAGATATAGAGTATTACGTCACTATTTATTTTAAATTTGTTTTAGTTAAAGGACAGTCTGTTACCTTTCATCTTCACAGTGAAGACTTGGCTGGGATTCATCGATGATTCACTCCTTTGATTGCAGAGATTTTTGTTGTTATTGCTTGAATATAATATATGAACTTGCACTTTTCCAAGCGTTCTCCAGGAGGGTTAAGATTCACACGGGACAGGTGAACACGAGGGGAGGCGCGCACTGACTGAGGCTGCGGAGGCAGAGGGGCCTCTATTTATAGGTAGGGAATGAGAGAGAGAGAGAGAGGTTGATCGAATGAAAACACACATCAGCGTCTAAAAGCGGAGCTGAGAGCGGAGTTTAGAGCTGAGAGCTCAACTCCCAGTGTGCGCGCTCTCATCCAAGCCTTGTGTGTGTGTGTTAGTTTATCTGATAATTTTAGAGAACAACACACACACACACACACACATACAGCTCCGCTTTCAGACGCTGACGTGTGCTTTCACTCGATCAATCTCTCTCTCTCTCATTCCCGGTCAACCTCTCTCCCTCTGGCTATCTATAAATAGAGGCACCGCTGCCGCGCAGCCTCAGTCAGTGCGTCTCCCCTGGTATTCGCCTGTCCCGTGAGCATCCCCACCCATCTGAATGGCCCTACGTTTTAATAAAAACTCGTTATTCATTTTATTATAATTAGTGGCAATGTTAAACATGCTTTTAATTTCTCGAAACATAAAAGGGTTTGCTTTTGTCAACTGATTAACGAAAATAAAAGAGAATTTTGCAATACAATATATTAAACCGACAACGAATTTTGTAAATATTGATCGATTCGCCGCTCGATGGGTCACCAAATCAACGCTTCTGTCGTCGAGAACTCTTCTGCGTTGCATATTTATCGTTAAACTCGGTGGTGGAAATGAAGTCAATGATGGGCAGGCGATTGGTCAGTGGCACCACAACACCTTTGCCGGTCAGACTCGCACTACAGTTGAGGACAGGACTCGGACTCGGACTGAGGCCCTCCAGTCCCATGGGTTGCGTCAGGTCGATTCCTTTCCTGGCGCGCACTTTTGGTCCATTATCTTTGGCCACAACTGCTTCCAGTCCGCCTGCTTTCAATCTGCCCGTCACCGATCTACCTCCGACTAATCCTTTGGTTAATCCTCCTTTACCTGTCCGTGGCCTCTCCTGCTTATCAGAGGGCTCCGGGTCGAGGACCTTGTGACCAAGATTGTAAAAGAAATCAACGCCTTCGTGGGTCTTTGGTTGCTTCAAAAGCCTAGGTTTGATTCGGCTGATCATCTTGGGTGAAATAACTAAAGATTTTGCAGCCGTTGGGTCGCTTCTCCTGGAAGAGTCCCTGGCCAAGAAAACCACAGAAGTTCCACCAGCCTTCATCGATTTGATTGATGATTCAGGTTTGGCATCTATAAGCTTGATCCTGCGAGAGACGCCCTTGGGCTTCGAGAAGCCTCTCTTCAGCTTGGTCGGGTTTGACCTTCTCTTGATAGTTTTGGGCAGAGAAGCTCCCTTCAGGGAACGCTTTAGATGCTTCTTGGCAGCGGAAGCCATCGAGGATCTCAGCTTACGTCTGGGTCTGGTGGGTTTCAAATTTACTTTCTTGGCCTTGCTCTTGCGTAAAGACTTTAAGGCTTTTGGGGAACGCAACTTGGACTTTACCATAATTTTGAGTGTCTCTGATTTATATATTTGATTTTGTTTTTAACTCGCGCAATTTTCTTAATTTAAAATTTTGGTTTTTCGGTTTTTAGTTTCCGGAATAGTTGGGTTGGTTTCAACAAAATAATTCGACTCGAATGTCTAGACCTGACAGGCTGATTAGGACTGTGGCAACGGATTTTCCACTGTCACTTGCCGCAAAGTCGGTGCTTACTTGGCTGCTCTATATATGTACATATCTCTCTCTAAATATATATATATGTACATATATAAAAACGTATGAATGTCCCAAACTTGAGCACGTTCTGCATCCACTGCTTCCTGTTTCCTGTCACCTCTTGTCTTGGACCGTTGCTTGTTTGTTTGTCTTAGCCCCCGCCGCCGTCGACTTTTATTTGTTTTTTTCCCGGCACTTTTCTTTGGCATACCCTGTAGTAAGAGGGTATACTGGATACAAGGGAGACTTTTGTGCCTGAAAGTCCTTACTAATATTAGGGTATTGTATGCCCTGACGCAGCTACTTCTTGTTTTTCCTTTGCTTGGCTTTTTCTCTAGGGGCTAACAACTTAAAATCAACTTCCGTTTGCATCTTCCTTTTTTTTTCGTAGACCCTTTTTTTGCATTTAAAAAAAGTTTCGTTCCTCTGAGTATTCCATTTGCAAAATATTCCCTGGCCCCATATTGATTTTTCCTTGTACATATGCAGGCATCTTGAACAACTCATTAAGAAACTAAGACGGAAAAGGCGTAATTTTCTTGAACTTACACCCCGTTTCTTGTAGGAGTTCGCTCCCTTTTCCATTTATATTTTTCCTCCCCCCGACTTTAGCTTACTTCTTTCGCACATTTTGGTGTCAAGTGATGCGTATCATTTAATGTGACACACTTACTCGGGAATTAAGGGGAGTGGCTGAAGGACTGCCAGGACATTCTGACAGCCGAACACATGCTGGCTGCATGCTAATTTGCTAAGCTCAGCAAATGACAAAAAAGCAGGAGCAGCAGGAACATCAAAGGGGGGCAAAGGGGAGAGTGCAGCCAAGAAAAGTAAGTAGGAAAGCTAACTAAATTAACATGAACAAATTATATAATATTTCTTATTAATAACTACTTTTTAATGGGTTTCAATTAACTTTCTTATTTTAATTAATTTAAACTATCTTATTTAGAGAATCGCACTTTTATAAAAAATCTATAAATATCGATAAAAATTGAAAACTTAAATAATTCTAATTTAATATTTGTGTTTATTTGTAATATTTCTATCAATTAATCAAATAAAAATTTTTTGGAATCATTTTTGTATTCAAGTCTTCCTTTTTTCACACTCGATAATTATCGATTATTATAATATTCATTATAGGAGACATAACTCAACAACACTCAGGAACAGGAACCCATATACAAGCCAAGAGACGCACAGCCCAAAGCAGCTGGCAAGGCCGGAAATCAACAGGACACCAGCACACAAACACACACTCTACTCTCCTTCCTGCAGGGGCTTCCCTGCCCGGTCAGCTTTGATATATGATCAGAAATCAAGTCTTTCCCCACACACATGACTATTTATCGCTGGTCGAGTAAATAGCCAACAGAAGCAATCAGCTTATGGCTGTCGTGGCTATATGTTTTCTTCCCTCTCCTTTGGCTGTTGCGCCTTCTTGATTATCACGTTTTTGCCTTTGTGGGAATCAGGCTCAACATCAATATCAAGTATCCGCAATATCAAGTATACGCCGCATTGGCACAGGCATAAATCCGCCAAAGGCGCCCACCACTGACCATCAAGGCCTGGCATCTCATTTGCTCAGCTCCTTTGTTATCCCCTTGTGCTCCGAGCCTTGTGTTATGCTTTCCAATATTGGAATTGTGTTTAGCTTAACACCTCAATAAGTCGCAGGATGTCAGTGCAGTACAGTACATGCAACATGCAACATGCAATCTGCAACCTGCAATACCAGCAGCACCAAAATGATGTTTTCCGCTTAAGCACATCGCATTCGTGTTCCCAAGGGGCAAAAAAAAAAAAAAAACTAAAAACATAAAGGCTACAAAAAAAAGAAAAGCGGAAAAATCGAAAGAAAAGCCCGGCGAGTTGCAAACCAATCCCAGAAGTGCGTCTCTTCCAACACTTTGGTTTATTTTATTTTGCCGCACAATTTTCCCCTCCCCTTCTTATTCGAGTTTTCCTCTCTGCTTCGCTCTTTTTCTTCCTTTCCTTTTTTAGTTGTTCCTTAAACAAACGCAAAAACCTCAGTCGAGGCTTTACTGTGGCAGGACAGCCAAGCCGACGAGTGGAGTAAGTCGAGGAAACTCGACTAATTGATGACCTATACAAGGTATTTAAAGTTTTAAAGAATTTGTATTTAATTTATTTTTTAATTTAAGTATTTAACTTTCAAATAAACCCAAAGAAAAATTTGTTATCTTGCGAACGAAATTCTTTACTTTTTAAATGTCTTGTCTTTGTCTTAATATATTATTACACAATTTTTTAACTAACCCATTATGTATCTTAAATATCTGTAAAAATGAAAAAAAAAATGAACTTTTAGAAAAGACCTTCTGTGCTTCCCCAATCGAATTTTCCGCTGACTGAGCACATTGCTCGCCCGTATACCCCAGATACCCTTTCTTATGTTGTTTCTAGTGAATAAAAACAAATAAACATACAAAAATGAGCAGAGGAACAAAGTCGGCAGCAGCAAAAAGGAAAAAAAAAAAAAAAAAAAAAACAAGAAACAAAAAACACAAATGTGAACGTGAACGTGCTTCGTTGCCTGGAGTGCGCTATTTTGCACCTACGGGATTTTGTGACTCCACACACTACCAGACAATCAGATGCACTGAGAAGAAATGGGGGTCAACATGAGGTGAATTTTTATAAATTTATTAAACTCTCTCAAATTTAATTTAAAAACAAATTAAGCCTCGAAAACAATTTTTTAAAAGTCTTAAAATATGTAAACCTCAAATTTAGGTAAATAATTTAATGTCATTTAATGTAATTAGTATTAAGAAATGTTTTACAAAGCATTTAAAAAATACTTAAGCTTCTTTTAAGTCAAATTTTAATTTTGGCCTTGAAAAATGTGTTTAAGTAAAATATTCAAGGTAAAGTTTGAGGGAAAAATATAAATGAACCATTACAAAAATAATGCTATGCTCGGTTTTAGTTTTGGAGATTTCATTTTATTTATCAAAATTTAATTTGTATATTGGAATATAATTGGAATATAAAATCAAGATATATGTACGAAGATGTAGCTAAAGTATGTAAATTTGATGTTTATTAATTTTTATTTAATAAGAAGAATATGTTAAACCAAAAGAAAATGTCTTGTAGTTCACTCAGCAGTTATTACTTTTCGGATGGTAATTAAATATATATTTTTATCAGCAAGAAAAAGTGCTATATTACCTTTATAAAACTATCTTCAAACTTAATATTTTTCCATTAAAAAAATAAAAATTTACTTTCTTGGAAATCTGATTTCTCAGTGAGAAAACTCACACATGCGAAGCGTGCAAAATCCATTCGAAATCAGTCAACGCGCCAAGGCTTTCATTCAGTTAGAAAGCAGACAGCAGACAAACAAAAGCAGGAAGAGGGGTTATCACAGAGCTCTTGCCAGGGAGAAGGGACTCGACTCCGCTTCCCTTGTGAAAAGGGGGGAGGGGGGGGGCTCTTTTCAGGGGCGCTGGTTTTCCGGAAAGGGTTGTGCTTTGGTTTTGGAACCCCAAACCAGGCTCCAGCGGAAGTGCGGCTTGATTTACTCAACTCGTTTGCTCGCTCGTTTGTTTCCAACTGCTGCAAACATATTTTCTACACACACACACACACACACACACATATATACTGGAAAGGCCGCTAAAATATTTATTAGCCCTTAAACAAACGGAATAGATGTGCGGCCAGAAAACTATAAAATACTAAACAAACACACACAGAGAGGGAGAACCCACCCGCACCTTAAAGACTTTGCCAGTGAAATGGCCCAGAAAAGGGTAAAGGAAATGGGAAATGAAAAACTAACCCCCCATTGAGGGAGGGAAAACTGTTGCCGAATTTATTAAAGCATTTCTTACGCATCATTTGTTGCTCTACCAAATTGCTGAGGAGGGGAAAGAAAAAAAAACAATACAAAACACAAAACGACAAAAAAAATAGTAAGGAAAAGCTGAAAGCCAGTGAAGAATGCAAATGAAATGGCCCAAAGGCAACAGGGATTGGGTGAAAAAAACCAAGCAGCAAGCAGCAAGCAGCAACTATAGGGCCGGAAAAATGCTGATGTGTTTCGACTTAATGAAAACGCAACTTGAAGTTTGATAAAGTGAAATCTTGGCCACGGGACGTATGAGTAATGCGGAAAATCGAATCGAATGGGCAAAATGGATGGCAATGGAATAGAATGGAAAAGGAAAACCACTCGTATCGTATGGGAATGCATCAATCAAAAAATTTGAGCAACAGCAAAACAAGACACACACACAAACATCAGCTTTCGAAATACAGGAAAAGAAATTAAGTAAACTAAATTAATTGCCGAAAAGAAACAACCAAAAAGGCCAAGTAAAATCCACACACAAATGGCAGGTCAATGGACTGAACTCAGCCGAACCAAAGTAAGGGAAAAAAACAACAAAAAATTAAACGAGGAAAAATAAATCCCAGCTGAGGACTTATCGAGAAAATGGTAAGAAATCTGGGAAAAACCTAAGGCAGACAACGAAAAGAACAAGAAATTGACTTTGGGGAGTCAAATATTGTATACCCTTACATTTGAAATTAGAGTCTGTAATTGAGTTTGTTAAATTTACTTGTTACAAATTTTTTTAAATAAATTTCCCGTTAAATGTCTTTCTTATTATAGAACCTTAAGGTTGGAGTCTCTTTGCTATCCTCTATTTAAAGTTCACCATTTGAGTACTCTAAATATCGATTGTAATTATACAAACTATTTAAGTTTGTATATATTTAAATAGTATTTAGTAAATACATTTCCCTGTTTATTTAATAAATTCCCTCTTTTTATAGCAACTATTTGAATCATTATATCTTAACATAAGAATTCAATTACCAGGCATTCTTTTAATTAAATTTATTATATATCCTCTTAATTTTAAAAACTATTTGAATTCTTGATCTTTCTTATAAACATCGAATTCCCAGGCATTCTTTTAAATTTCCCTTTTTAT